CCAAAAACTTTAACCTTAGACTGTCTACTGTTGACCTCACCCCTTTCTTAAGAGGTCTGTGCATAAGTGCATTAACGTGCCTACCGTCCCTGTCTTATTGTTTCTTTTATTTTTCTTATATGTATCCATGTATTCATAACTATGTTTTTACTTATACCTATTATCTTGTAAGCAATTGACAAACCAAATAAAATAAAACAAATAAAAATAAATAAATGTATATATAGGTTTATTGTATGCTAAAGCCCTCTACAAGAAACTGAACTACTAACGGTCAAAGAGAGTTGGAAGTAGATAAGAATCAATGGAATTCAAGGTATGCTGGACTTAAATTTTGTGGGTGTGAAGGGATTTGAGATGATGAAGTGTTTGACCCTTCCCTTAGGCTCATCCTGGTCATCTCCTACAAGTAACCATTAGTAAGTATTATTAATTATAATAATTAATTCTCACCATCAGTCAATTGCAAAAGACAGCTTTATTTGGAACAGCTTTTATTTTGCGACAATATCTTTCACACTATCAAACAACAACATTTGCCTATCCCAGGTGATTGGGAAGGACTCAATAGGCAGATAAAAATACCAGATCTGGTCTAAATATGTGGCTGACTGTGCAATGAACAACAACAATAATAATAACCATACCTCTTTTTAATAAAAACCACAGAATTGATTTGTCCCTCATTTTAAAAGACAGGCAATTTAATCAACAATCAAATCACTTTAAAACATTAGTGAGGTTTAATAAACAAAAATAATATATTAGTGCATTTGACAGTATAGTTAAAAAACCTATGGTGCAGTGATGAAATAAACTGAACATAAAGGAAGAGATAAAAAGGAAACTAGGAATAAGGGGAAAAATCCATGTTACATCAATGTAAGATTTCCTTATTATTAAATCTAGACATAGAAACAAATTTCTCCATCATTTCATTTTAAAAATATATAGATTTTTCAAAAATCGAATGAACACATATCTTGAATCCATTCCTTAACTTCAAGAAAATAAATTTATTTACATCCACATAAAGTAAATCATGAGTATAGCAAAGGCAAAAGAGTAACCAGCTTTTCTGCAAGAAACTTTGTCTGGACTTCTGATTTTCATAAGGACACCAATATGCACCTGATCTCCAACACCCATGTAGCCACCAAAATCAATGTGGACCAGCCTTGTGGCTCAAGCCATGCCCCTTTTAACTGTGCATGCATGTTAATGCAGATACAAAAGCAACAACTGTGTTTGGATTGGATGACACACCCCTTGCTTTGCAGATTATGACTCTCCAGCAGACCCAGCTAGATTTAGGAACACAAAACTGTAAATCGCAAGACAAACAAAAAACAAAAACAAGTGGTCTTCCTCCTCCCTCACCTGGAAAAAAAAAAAGCTTCTAAAATGGTTAAATTCATTTTCAGTCAGTTAGATTTTAAATTTAGCAGCTGGAGCAGTAAAGTATATGATGGCCCAGAGCACACAGTGTTAGTTGATCGGTTGGAGAGTGCTGCATGAGGCAATCTACTCTATGATTGATTGTTGTGGGTGTAAAGGGAGAATTTCCCTTTTTCCCGCCATTTTCTTCTGTGCTCCCTGTTTGCTATTTGATTTACCTCATGATGTCCCTGTGTTCCTGACTATCTTGTCTGCTATACATATAAATGTTAAATATATTTATTTATACAAAACTACAAGTTTGTTTCAGTGACTCTGACTTCATTTGGACAGTTGCTGTGCAATTCCATGAAACAATTCAATACAAGTGCTGACTCTATAACAATAGTTGCTAGTTGTCTCATGAAATGAATTGCATTGGGTAAACTGGCTGGGTAAACTCTGTCTTTTTTCCTTTAACTTTTAAATAGCTTTCAGTAACTTTGGTTGTGGTCTTCTTGGAAGAAATGGGATGTGGAGGCCCATCTGGTAGGTACCCAACTTGGATGGCCAATTCTAATGGATTATTATTCTGCTGAGATTGTGGACATAATTTTCAGCATTTAGCTACCGTGTTTACCTGAAAATAAGACCTACCCTGAAAATAAGCCCTAGGCTGATTAAATGTGCTCCTAATAATAAGCCCCAGTGAAGGGGGATGGTCATGGCCAGCACAGGAGGTGGCGAGTGAGCGCGGGTGGGCAGCTGTGGGAAGTTTGTCTTTGCATTTTTTGGCTTGCCTGCAGCTCACAAGGTGCACCAGGATTACTTGCCTTCCATCCCGCACCTCTGCCTCCATCTGCTGATGCCACCATGCAAAGATGAGCCTCCTGCAGCCGGTTGCCTGCTCCAGCCCACCAACTCTTGGCTTTCCCATGGCCTGACTCACTTAACAAATGTTTCACTTAGCAACATAAATTTTGGGCTCAGTCGTGGTCGTAACTCAAGAACTATCTGTAGTCTCTGTCAGCTTTTAGAGCAACTATTACACGGGGTGTTATAAGATTGGGATTGTAAGTAAGTGGTTGTTATCAGCAGATGTTTTTTTTAAATGCCACTTTTCTTCACTGAGAAGAAAACCTACATTTCCCTTTGCTTTTTAAAAAACATATGTCCATTGGTATACTATTCTACTTTTGTCAAGCAGCACCTAGGCAACCTTGGCTGCCTTCCAAAAGTTAAGCAGTCCCTCATCGCTTCATATTTGGTTGAGATACCATGAAATACCAAAGCTTCAGGGGTGGGATGCTACGGGTTCCGCCTGGCTCTATAGAACCGGTAGCTTTGAAGAGCAGCAGACACCGAACTGTGTTTGTTGCTGTTTGGCCCACCTTCCTGCCCAGGCTCTTACCTGTCCTTTATTTCCTGCTTTTTCAACCTCAGCTGCTTTGCGCTTTTCATTTGTCCAGGCAGCACAGCTTAAGGTTTTTTTACATGCGTGCATGCGTGCAAAGTGCGCATGCGTGTGCAAAACATTGTCACCGAACCAGTAGTAACACCGGTTGAATCCCACCCCTGCAAAGCTTAGCTAGATTAGGAAGTTGAAAAGCATCACAGAAGAAAGCAATGGCAAACCATTTCCACCTGGTTGCCAAGAAAACTAGAAGGGTGTGTCTTATAAAATATCAAGAGTCATATTTGACTCAGGGGAGACTTTAGCTCATACTTTTAGACACACTGTTTTGATGTGCCAGTGGTACTTCTGTGCAGGTAAAGGAGATACTTCCAGGGGCAATTCTCTTAATATTAAAATGATTGGCGTTGTGTTATAATTACTGTGCTAAAATAAGTGCTCAAACTTGGTCTTGGGTAATAATGTTCAAGTGCATACAGTAGTTAAACCAAAGCAGGTTTAAATTGAGGTGGATTTTAAAACAGGATTGATGAGATGATGATGATATTAATACAGTATATTATTTGGCCACCTGTTTTAGTTATAAGGTTTTTTTTTAATAAAAAAGGAAGAAGGGGAAAAAAAAGGAAATTGTTATATGGCTCCAGCTATTATATATGGAATGTATAAATATCAAGTAAACGATAACAACCTGGTACAGCTTAGACAGCATCTTCTTGATGAATTAATTTCATTATAACAATACACACATTTCATCATAGTTTTCTTCAGGTTGATGTTATTATTGTGAGCATAAATACATAATCCCTGTGGGTCAATAACAATTTTGATCAAAGGTTTGCAGCCCCATCTCTACTCAGTGATGTTTAACAACGGACTTTTCCAAAGTGATTGTAAAGAGGAAGAGCTGTTCAAAGCATTTCCTTCCTCTAGGAAGATGGGTGATAGGAAATACACTGTTGAGCTCCTTCAACGACTCCAAGCCCCACCGATATGACTGACTCCATTGCCATCATGGTGTCACTACACACTAGCTATCATGTCTCAGCTCTGATCTCAACTGGCTTGCAAAATTCCCGAAAATTTAACAATTGACTCTTGCAAGCTGGCACAAGATGGCTTCAGCACACCACAGTCTGTACCATTTTCAGGCTTCTTTGTCCATCCTTTGCCCACCCTTTCTAAACTACTTCCCTATCTGGGTTCTTCTTTTATACTTTCTGACCCAGGTCACCTTGCCCACTTATATAAAAGGCTTGCCTCAAGAAAGAAGCAGAGGGAAACACAGATTTAGCTATTTCACTGCAAGCAGGGCATGAAAACGGGTGTCACAAGCAGTCACTTTCTAAAATATCCTTTTATTGTTTTGCTTAACCTGACAGTTCTTTGTCATTCCCCTTTGCCTATTTCTGTGGAAGAAAGTAGGCACTTGCAGATCTCTGTTGCTCTTAGCTTTCCACCTACCATTCCATGTCACCCAGATGTGCTCATTTCTTCTTTATCAGCAGCTGATCTCCATCTTTCGCAAGCCAGTTTCCCCCACCTAGGATTCGGATTGTATTGAAGCTAGATCCTTGATGCTTCTGGTACGAAGCTGTAAGGGTTGCTTCTGAAAAAGCACTGCACTCTCTCTTTTTCTCTATCCTATCCAGCAAAGGTGTTTTCAAATAACGATTTGCTGAGGTGATGTTGATGCTCTGTGAATTACAAGTTGAAAAATTGCTCTTAGGGTGCCATGGGCGATTTTCCACATCGAGGCATACTCAGGCTGTAATTGTGGGCGTGCTTTGGGAATTGTGAAAGCCAGACTATTGCTTGACAGTCTGCACAGCAGCTGCCTGCCCTGGGACTCTGCAATTTGAAAAGCAGATGGAGAGGCTGATACCATCGCCATTGAGAATAAAGGCAATTGCTCTGTGTCAGGTCTACTCATCAGCTACAATAATCAAGCTTAAGACATCTTAGTCACTGAATATATTGCACGATTGCTGGTCCTCCTCCTCCTCCTCTTCGTCTTCCCTTTTTTCTATTGGTAAGAAGGGCTGTGCTAATGGGTAGAGTCAATGTTTGGTAAACTGGAGATGAAGATCTGTCAACCACACCAAGCCACGAACACAATATAATGATATCCTCTTTCCCGCCCATGCAAAATCAAGTCCAACACCTCCCTGGAATACATAAAAGGGAGGTTGCTTCCAGCTCTGGATCCAGAGGGATTTGGCTTTCTTTGGGCTCACCACTCTCCAGCTACTCCTTTATTTTAAACTTTGTCCCAGCTGCTACTAGTCCTCTTCATTTTCTTTGTTGCTCTCTTGACCCGAACACAAGAATGTCTTTCCAGACCATCTGCCAAGGCTCCAAGGGGAGCAGAAGGGGTTACAGCTCATGCTCTGCTTTTGGTGGCGGCACCGGAGGTGGAATCAGGCGTAGCTATTCTTCATGCAGGGGATATGGTGGTGGTATGAGAGGCCAGTATGGTAGCAGGAGTCTCCATAACTATGGTGGAGTTACAAGGATTTCCTATGGATCTGGCTATGGAGGGGGCGTCTGTGGGGGATATGGTGGTGGCTATGGAGGAATAGGTGGAGGCTATGGAGGAATAGGAGGTAGCTGTGGAGGAATGGGAGGTGGCTATGGAGGAATAGGGGGTGGTTACGGAGGAATGGGAGGTGGTTACGGAGGAATGGGAGGTGGTTATGGAGGAATGGGAGGTGGGTTAGGTGGTAGAGGATTCGGCGGCCTTGGATCTGGAGGTATTGGCAGTGTCCAAGTGGATCCAAATCTTCTGCGACCGGTCCGGGTAGATATTGACCCCCAAATACAGCAAGTAAAAAATCAAGAGAAGGAGCAGATCAAAGTCCTCAACAATCAGTTTGCTTCCTTCATTGATAAGGTAGGTTAACAGAACAGAAAATGCTACATTTTTGATTGGTGTCATGGAATGCATGTCAGTTGACTAAACTTGATGCAATTTGTGCTCGACAATCTAGTAACATCTAAAGTTCCTGATGTGAATTCATTTACCAACTCTCTTTATTTGGAAGTTACATAGAATATTCTAAGAAACTTTGATATCATGAGACTTACAAAGATTCCTAGTAACTATTTAAAATGTTTCTGTTTGTTGGGCTCTTGGAAATGGATGAATTGAATAGAAGCAAATGTCTGGGAAGTAGTACAAAACCAGAAAAAGTGATTAGGGTGTTCATTAGCAGATAGATTTTCAAAATGATTTCAGGATAACAGAAAGCGTTGCCACTTTTAAAAAGTAGCATGTGTGGAATTTATAAGACAAAATGTAACTGATTGCCGTATATATGCCTGAACGTTTCCATACAACTTTTTAAAAAGATATTTTGTAAGGGCTAAATCAGTTGCTGGCCTTCAAAGCCTCTTACTGTAACTGGAGATGCCAAGAATTAACTGGAGATGCCAAGGATTAAAAATGCCAAGCATGGAAAAAGCTTATCACAAGCTTTTCAAATAATGATGCCTTGTTACTGAAAATGTTTGTGTCCATCATTTGTAGTGTACTAAAAAAGAGGCAGCATTTGCATTTCTGGGATGAGTCTGTCTGGAATATTCTTGCTCAGCACAAGTAACCACATAGGCTCTTGTAAAGTGCCTGACCTAGAATAGAGTTTGAAGGATACAGAACAAGCCCTTCATTGATTTCCACTGGCAGCTGAAGGAAGTCCAGTGAAGTCCATGAACTTCTCAAAATACTTGTGTCCTTTAGATCGTCTTCTCATTCCTCAGATGATCAGAGTTTCAATTTTACAAAGAAAAGAAAGGCGAAATAGAGAAGAGAACATAATGAATTTGCTCCTATCTCTCAAGTTAAGGTTCATTTAGCTGGAATGATCCAGCTTTGCTGTTAATTTTCCTCCACAGTTATCCCAATGTGTTGTGATGGCAATTCCCTCAACTAATTTCTTTTATAGGTTCGCTTTCTGGAGCAACAAAACAAGGTATTGCAAACCAAATGGCAAATCCTCCAACAACAATCACAAGGCATTGGCCCAACTATGAATCTGGATGCCCAGTTCCAGCAATTCCTGAATAGCTTGAGGAATCAGATTGAAAATATCCGCAGCCAGAAAGGACAGCTGGCCACAGAACTCCAAAGTATGCAGCATTACGTGGAAGACTTCAAGAACAAGTGAGAACTTCAGAAACAACAAACCACTGTGTCCCTTTCAGCTATTGGCACTTGCAGTCAAGTGATAGTCTGTCCCACAGATGAGCAGCCGATCACAATAGCAATAGCACTTACTTATTTACTGTTTTATAGTGCTTTACAGCCCTCTCTAAGTGGTTTACAGGGTCAGCATATTGCCCCCAACAATCTGGGTCCTCATTTTACCCATCTTGGATGGATGGAAGGCTGAATCAACCTTGAGCCTGGTGGGATTCGATCTGCCAAATTGCAGGCAGCTGGCTGCAGTAGAAGTAGCTTGCAGTACAGCACTCTAACCACTGCGCCATCGAGGCTCTATACCAGAGGTGGGCAACTATGGCCCCTTTATGACTTGTGGACTTCAACTCCCAAAATTCCTGAGCTAGCATGGCTTGCTCAGGAATTCTGGGAGTTGAAGTCCATAATTCATAAAAGGGCCATAGTTGCCCACCCCTGCTCTATACAATAATACCACTGATCATAATTCTTGAGAAACCTTTCCACAAAGAATGCTCTTTGCAGGTGCTGCTCCAAGCCCTGGAGAACATAAATATTGCAGTCCAACATTATAGATATAAAGTAGGGGGATAACATTACAATCAGCATAGGATGTCCCATGAACAAAGGTGGGAGAATTAATTTCTTAGTGCTTCTTTGACGAATTTGTTCACATTCCATTCGTTGTGTTTATTATGATAGCTTTGTATTTATCTTGAATTCTTGTATTTAGTATTTAGCTTGGCTTCTGTAGTCTATGTGTGATTGCATTGAAAGTCCTGGTCAAGAAATCAATGAACTCACTTGCTTTTTCTTCTAGGTATGAAGAGGAGATCAACAGACGCACAACAGCTGAGAATGATTTTGTTGTGCTGAAAAAGGTGAGAGAGGAATATCTGGCAGTTTGCTGCAAACATGGAAGGCATAATCCAGGGACAGAATTGAATCGTTCTTTAAGATTTCTCCAATTTTTAAGAACTAAGTCACCATGGTCAAAAATCTACATGTAGGCCTATCTTTTTGTTGCCAAAAATGCTACATGATGCAGTTATAGGATTACAGTCCATATCTGAATCTCGTTCTATATGGAAAAGTAGAATGGTATCAAATTAGGAATTTCCTTAATACATTTGTTTTCCATCTTCAGGGAGTCTGATATATTAAAAAGTATTTTGAATTGAGACATAACCATGAATAGAAAGGAGCAAATCTCTAGATTTTTGTTTGTCAAATTCCATTTGTCAAGATTAAGATTTATTTGATCAAGTTTATACAAAAATGTGAATGTGTAATATTTTGCTCTCTCTCTCTCTCCCTCCCCCCTCCCTCCCTCCCTCCCTCCCTCCCTCCTACCTATCTATCATCTATCTAATCTCTATCATCTATCATCTCACATTTTCCTAATCTTTATATGGCTTTTGTTATTAGTGAGCTGCATTGCCAAATTCAGAGAATTAGAAATGTTGACTTAACTAATTTTGGTCCTCAGAGTTGACTAAAAGTAATAATTTGACATTGAAATCAAAACTTATTATCCTCTCTCCTTAACTGTTAAAAAAGGATTATGCACCTATTTATAAATTCAGTAGCTCCTGATATGTCTGAATAGTAAACATGTTATCCCTGTAATTCGCAGTGGATCTTTTAGACTAGTCAAAAAGATGGTATTATGTGTTGAAGCTTGCTGATACCTGATTTGATCTGAAAAAGTTTGCTGTCTGTAATTCCTCAATGAAGAATAGAAGCAGCAATTTTGTCCTGCTTATATGTATTTTCCAGTGTATTGTTTCTTCACATGTTGCTGATGTGGTCTTTCAAAAACAGAGAGCTGAAGACTTAAAATTAAACAACCTAAAAGGAACATACAAGGCTCTTTGTGTGGACTTGCTAAAAAGAGTTCAGATATGGTTCAACTGGGGATGAGACTTGTTGAAGATTTACACTGACATTCTTTTGGATCCTTGTAGGATGTGGATTGTTCCTATTTGTCCAAGAGCAACTTGGAAGTAAGAGTTGGTGCTTTGGCTGAGCAGATTAACTTCCTGAGAAAGATCTTTGATGTGGTAAGAAATGGTTTAGTTTCATTGATTAAAAGGAAGAGAGTGTCTTCAGGTCCTGCTGAACCCAAATTCAGATTTGTCTTTATGTATACCATGATCCTTTCCTTCCAAGAAAGAATCTTATTTCATATAGGGCATGTTCACAGCAGTGGTGGGATTCAATTTTTTTTTACTACCGGTTCTGTGGGCATGGCTTGGTGGGCATGGCATGGCTTGGAGGGTGTGGCAGGGGAAGGATACTGTAAAATCTCCATTCTCTCCCCAATCCTGGGGGAAGATTGCCACCGCTTCTTCAGAACTGGTCAGAACCTGCTGAATATCACCTCTGGTTCACAGGACACATCCTTCAGTGATTTCGGTTACAAGAGCAAAAAATGTCCACATTATAACAGCAAATGTTCTTAGAATGGTCAGATGGCTGACTTTCTCTTCCTTTTTCACCCATCTAAAAACAAGGCCCTCGAAGGTGGAGACCCTAGACACAGGATGGAGGAAAACCATTCCTTCTTCTAGCTCTCTTTTATGGGTAGTCATCAACTTTAGTGATGACTACCCTTCAGTGATGTTCAAAGTTAAACAACACCACTGAAAAAAAGTGATTTATGATCATTTTCCACATGACTGTTGTAGCATCTCTATGGTCCCATGATCAAAATTCAGATGCTTGGCAACTGCCTCATATTTATGATGGATGCAGTGTCCTGGCATTATGTGATCTCCTTTTGCAACCTTCTGACAAGCAAAGTCATTGGGGAAGCAGGTGAAGATTAAGATGAAGAGTGGTGAAATAGGGGAAAAGTGAGGCAGATTGCCAACCTAACTCATGCTTTTTGGATTCTTTATAGGAAATCTCTCAGTACCAGACTGGAGGCCAAGACACCTCAGTAGTAGTGAGCATGGATAATAATACCCACTTGAATTTGGAAGGTATTATCGATGAAGTAAGGAGCCAGTATGAAGAGATTGCTCGCAGTAGCCGAGCTGAGGCTGAGTCTTGGTATCACTCCCAGGTAAGTAATCACACTGAGACAAGGAAATAAAATCCCCTAATTTATCTTATGCTTTTCTAGGAAGCAGGAACTCCTGAGGATTCAAACTACAGAATCACAGAACATTGCATTAGGGACTTTCTGCTTCTACTTGTTTGCTGAGATTACTATTTAAACGGTTGTTGTTCTCTTTCTCCATGAGGTCCCTGCAAATTGGACTTTAGCTTCTCTGCTGACTTCTAAGGCTGAATTTGTAGTTCCCTCACCAAAGTACAATATTGATAATTCTCTGAAGAAAGCCTTGGCAACAAACACCATGTTGATATTCTCAGGACAAATCAGCTTTTCCCTGCCTGGTACCTTCCAAAGTTGTAGAATACTTATCTTGTAAGTTCTCAGCTGTGTTTCTGGGAAATGCAGTCCTGCCTCATCTTGAAGAGGTCAGATTGAGGAAGGCTGGGAGTGAGAGGCCTAAAAATCTGACCAAGGAGCAACCAATCAGTCCTAAAGATGCCCAATCTCAGTATTGACACACAGGGTAGGAATGAACATGAATAGTGAGTTGTGGGGGACCCTATTTTAATAACTTTTTAGGTTTTTAAGCCTCTTCATTTTCTGAACAATGTGACAAAAAGCAGTTACCTGAGCCAAAATGGTCTTTAATTATCCAGGACAGATGTTGATATATCGTTTATATAGACTCTTCAACCATGCCCAGATTCAGTCAACTACCATGTGACTTAAAATGCATCTCAGCCCTAAGACCTTAAGTATGGAGTCAGTACTCACAATGCTTTACAAAGCCCTTTCTGGGAACCATGATAATCAAACGGATGTCAAATCAATATGAAGTGTGAAAGCCATGGCTCTGTGGAGGTGTCTGAAGTACAACTTCAAGCATCCTTTACCATTAACTATGCTGTCTGGGCCTGCTGGAAATTGTAATTTAATTGTAAATGTTCGTTCGGCCATCCTTTGCCATCCCTGAGCTATTCTGCTTCCATTGTCATCCACTGGGCTGATGCAGCAAAATGGATAATTACACTTTTTCTGCCCAACAGTTTGAAGCTCTGCAGCACACAGCAGGACGGCATGGTGACAATCTGCGCAACACCAGGCAGGAGATTCAGGAGTTGACTAGGAACATCCAGAGACTGCGTTCAGAAATTGAGCATGTCAAGAAGCAGGTATGGAACGTGTAGGGAAGAATTACAATTCAATCTCCTTGGGAGATCCAGGTCACTATATGAGTGTTGAATTCACCTTTACAAAGGGGAAGAATCTCTTAGTGGGAGCTTGTGCAGAATCTTATTCTAAGGACACGAGGTGCCTATTTTTTAAATCATATATTTTAATTGCCCTTTTTATCATTTGATTTAAGATCTTGAAGCATTTCTGTTTCTCAGCAGATAACACTCTGACTCAGTAGCTTAATACATTTCACTGAAACTTGCCAAACTCCTTTTAAACTACTTCTCCCATCTTTCAATGTGGTAAGAGCTGAACAACAGCACCACATATCTCATTGCCTCATCATAGCTGAGCTCTCTTGTACACAAGATGAATTGCATTACCTTTATGTAAGTCCAGGTGTGACATTATTGGCTTAGATAGCAAAACTGAATGGGTGTTGCAATGTGAATTACATTGGTTTGGGGATAGAATCTTTTTTGCAGTGGTTGAAAAGGAAAAGCCATGTACCAAGAAAGGGCTGTAGTTCACGGTAGAAGACTGGTTTGGCAGGAATCAGGAGTCTTCAGGTAGGGCTGGAGAATCTTCACACATCTTTAAATCATAAAGATCTGCTATTTGTCACCGTCAGCAATTCTGAACTGGATGAGCCAATGGTACAACTGCGTGTTCTTCATTCTTAGCTTCTTAATAATTTTAAACTGGTCTTCAGTGGTTCATGGGAGAACATGATACACGCTCAAGTATTGATGCGTGTAGCTGAAAAGCATCTGTTCTGCTACACATATTTTATGCACCATATAGATAAGGAATCTCTTCACAGCAATCCCCTTTGATTATGAGGCTTGTCCCCCAGCCTCAGTTAAGGTCCATAGATACTGATTGGGCCTGGGGAGGGAACAAGGAGTCAAGCCTTATCCCACGGATACTTTTTTTTCCCCAAAGGACTTTCTTTATTTTTGCTTGAAGATGTTTTGCTTGTCATCCACGAAGCTTCTTCAGTTCTTCAGAATTGAAGAAGCTTCTTGGATGAGAAGTGAAATGTGTTCAAGGAAAAACAAGAAAAGTCCAGGTTCCTTTGGGGAAAAAAAAAAGCATCCTTGGGACAATCATGAGCTGGATGACTGAGAATCTTCATAGACAAGTTAAGCCTTGCTACAAAAGGCTTTAAAAAGCTTCTAAGATATGTCTTTTCCATGCTGATGCCCATAGATTGCTGAAGTGCATTGGGAGATTGTTAAGCAAAATAAGAAGAGTTCACATTTCGGCTGTGCCCAAATATAAGCCCATTCACAGAAAATGTCTACATCGGTCTACCATAGTATGGCTGGAAAAGGCCTTCTGAAGAGATGCTTGATCTGGCTTGATATAAGGAAGTGTCTTACCGCTCTCCTAACAACTCAGAGGTGGTATAAGTAAATCACCACCATACTTTGAGAAATAAGGGAAAGAAAGCATCCTAGTTTACAACCTCAAAATTGAAAAGCAGAAAGGAATCATAGTAACAGGGTTCCATCTTTTAAAGGAACGATAATTGGAAAAAAAAAGTGGAGTGTAAAATGATTTAGCTCTCTAACTCCATTATATGTTTGATGGTGCTTCCGAAAAGAACAATAGCAAAAAAGTTGTGTCAGAGGATCTGACATTTAGGGCTTGCCTGGACAGAAATCAGGAATCCATTAGAGTTGGCAGCTTATACATTCAAATAAATAAAAAGTAATAATACCTTTTTAAAAATTGGATTGAGCATCTGGACTGGAACATGAGAATAAAAAAGTCTGCAATATTCAAACAGAGTGTTGGGCCAATTATCGTTGCTGAGCGTCTACAATGAATCATCAAATTCCTAGGACCAAGGAAATGATTTGATTTGATCACTAACAGTGTTTCCATACAGGGCATTCTGCCACCTAGGCAGACTGCTTTGTAACATATAATATGAACAGAAGCATTTCTTAGATCCAAAGTCTGCTTTTTTTAAAAAAGCGAAAGCTAAATTGTATAAGAAAGTATATTTCTGAAATAAGATGCTTAAAGGAAAATAGCTTACACTGGGGAATTTATGCAGTATATTAAAAGCCTACACTAGCCTACAGGAAATGTAAGTTAACAAAGAATGACATCATGTAAACTAATACTAGAGATTGATATTATCTTGAGATCATTTATGTTAAAACACAATTGGAGGTAATTATGTTAAAATACTTTTGCATTTGGATAGCTGAAAAAAAAGGGTGAGTTTTAACAGATCTTTTTTTTAAAGTGAAACAAAACAAAACAGGGAACTCAGATTAATGGATGTATTAATTATTTTTCTGATTTGGACATCTCTCGCTCCCAAGTGCTACCACGCAAGAGATAGTGCAGAAGTATCAAATTATTTACAGTGGGTTTAAATTTATGCGTTTATTTAGTGCAACCTCGAGGCAAAATCCAGAGCAGGATTCCCGTAAGCAGTTCGTGACTGTGTACAGTCACGTTCTGGTAACTCCTGTGACGCAGCTGGAACTAACCGTATCGGCTCTGCTGTTCCATTAGACTATTTCAATGACGTGAAGAGGGGGGATCTGCTGCTTGGGTAACAGTTAATCCTCCATTTTAAATTACCCAGGCCTCATGCTCTGGAGAAGACACTCCAGCTTTGCACACAGCATTGAAATAACACGGGAAGTGGCAGTTACCGGTTTCATAGCACGATGCCATAGTCTCTTGAGACTGAAGGATGCCAAGTCAATTCAATTCAATTTAGTGCAGAGAGAAAAACCTCAGAACTATTGGTGGAAGCCCTTGGAAAATTTCCCAAATGAAATAGAATCACAGCATGATAAACACTTCATCTAAAAGGAGTTAAAAAGATGCTCACAGTGGCAACTAGAGCTGTTTGTTATCTCTGTTGCCTTGCAGTGTGCTAAATTGCAGTCGGACATCGCTGAAGTCGAGGAACGTGGTGAACTGGCTCTCCGAGATGCGAAGCAAAAACTGCATGATTTGGAATGCGCCTTGGCGAAAGACAAGGAAGAACTGGCTCGCCTCCTGAAAGAGTACCAAGAGCTGCTAAACGTCAAGCTTGCTCTGGATATCGAAATTGCCATGTACAGGAAACTGCTGGAAGGAGAAGAGAGCAGGTTTGTCTGCTGGTCCCTATAAGGAGTGGGTCTGGTTTTAAATGGGCCAAGTATCCACAAGCTAAATCTGGCTAAAAATCTACCAATAAATCATATAAAGGATGTCTATTTAAATATCTGAATAGTTAAGAGATTGTCTTGTCAATATTTAACTCCCTAATTTGGGGAAAAGAGGTTTCATTTGGAACTTTTGGAGTTCTGGCTTGCCTTTGGAAATGTTGATGTACTTCATGCCACGGGGGTGCTCCAGGTCTTGCCCACTACCCTATCTGGATTCGAAAGGTGCTTCTTTTGTGGCTTGGTTTGTAGGTAGGACATGGGGATTCATGAGTGGAGGGATCCACCTTGCAAACAAAAAAATTGACAATATCACATGGAACTATAACTTGACCTATTGGGCAATTGTTTATTTCATGAAGGAGAATTTTGTTCAAAAATCACCTGTTTTTTTTTATGCTTTAAACAGGCTTTGTGGCTCAGGATCTCAAGTCCATGTCTGTAAGTACCTAATGTCTTCCCCTGAATAGATTTATAGTTTTTAAAGTTGTGAAGATGTGCATACTAAATCTGTGTTTTCTTTACAGCTGTGCGGCGTGGTAGCATTGGAGGTGGAATTGGCGGTGGCATTGGCGGCGGCATTGGCGGCGGACTGGGAGGTGGCATTTGTGGCGGCATTGGAAGTGGTGTTGTCGGTAGCATCGGCGGAGGGAGCTGTGGCTATGGAAGTGGAGGCTATGGTGGCATTATAAGTGGTGGAGGGGCTGGCGGCTCTGTCTGTGGAGGAGGAGGTGGATTCTCTCACGGCTCAGGAAGTGGTTCCAGCACTGTCATCCGAAGAACCACCACGTCCAGCTCGTGCACCAAATCAAGCGGAAGATATTAGGCATCTCTCCCGGCCCCCCACAAAGGAAAGGAACATCTTTTAGCTGCTTGTGTAAACGCAACTCTTTCAACCCCATTCTGGCAACTCAAAAAAGAACAAATGGTGTCTTCTAAAGCCCAAGATCTGGTCTCTATTTACCTCCCAGAGGAAATCTGCAACCAGTCCCCGCCGAGGAGGTCATCATCCATCTCACTTCTATTGCTTTCGATGACCAGTCATGAAATGGTAACCAAATTCCATTTTAGGACATCCAAGAGAGAAATGCTTGAAAGAAAGGGGAGATGAATCAACTATGAATCTGGGTTTTGCTTCCTTAAGTATGCTGTACATATTTGGCCTAGTTGATGGCTGCCAAATAGTGATGTGCATGAAAGAGAGCTTTCCTGCCTGGAGTCTTCTTCCGACCAATGGTTCTCTTCAGTCTTGCTATAGTTCCCTGCTTCATTAAGGAGATCATTTGTTTTCACTGTATATGTCTAGGTCAATGTTAGGCAGGTCAAACTTGTACTGATAAGTTAAATGCCAATGTTCTCAAACCACCATCGCATTTCCACTCAACAGTTGAGTTTGCAGAAAGACAGGGTCCTGCAGAATCCTGAACAAGCAACAATTCATGGTTAGGAAATCAGGAATTGAGGACTGTGCTGTGAAAACATTCAATCTTGTGCCAGTTTTGTGGATTATGTTGCACCTATCTTCATTTCTTAGGCTTTCTTTCCCATTTTCTTAGAAGCTGATCATTTTCAATAAACTGCAGTCAAGTTAGATGTTGTCTCATTTTTTAAAAATGGTTGGTTTCACGCATATCATTTTACTTCAAAAATGGACCATCCTTGAAGTGGCTTGCACAAACTTTATGTATTATTTTCTGGGAAATAACTCTTCATGAAGATGTAGTCTTTATTTATAATTTTATATTTGTTTGTCTGAGAGTAGGCTTCACTGAATTAATTGGATTTCCTTTAGAGGAAACATACATTAGGGATGCACACCAATCCCTAAATATGGTCTCCATAAAGCAGCATATAGTAAGATTGGGCAATATGGAGTCAGGCAAAAAGCTTCATGATTAATTGGTGCTACTTACTTGGAGCGTGGAGGGCTCTGGTTTTAAAGAGCATTCATGATTGGATGAAACATGGATATGTTGCGTACCATCTGCCAGGAACTTCTCAAATACTTCAAAGCTGCTGCTCCTGGACCTGTGGAGCAGTCTTCTGTAGTTGATGTCCAACCCTAGGAAAAGATGTAATTGACTGATCTTCTGGGCGTTATCTATGTTTGCTCAGAATCATATGTTTCATGGAAATCAGGGTTGTGGACAATCTGGATGTATTCCATTGAATAGGGCAATTAAATACCCTTTTTGCCTTAAAGCCAGAAATATCCCAATTAAAATAATTCAGTGTAACATAAGAACAACCAAACTTAAGCATTATGATAAATGGGAGTAGTTTAACCATGGATGCTTCATGTCAGCCTTTAAAAGCCTTTAACTTTGGTTGGATGATGGTCTTTTTGGTTGTTGCTTTTTTTAAACTACCTATCCAAGGTCTAATTTTGAAAAATATTGCTTTGTATTCAGAATTGTTAGCCTAAAACTGGTATGGAAATTTTAATTTCAGCTCGGATGCTACATCTAGCTTTTTTTGAGTGTGCCATCTGCAGAATCTCAGGAATAGTCCTCGCTTCTCAAAATGATTTTTATCCGGTTGTTTTATCTCCTGATTATTATTTGCATCTGTTCTAAAAATTAGGATGGTATCCAGGAAACTATCTCATGTCGTGCTGTGAAATAGGCTTGATTACCCCCTAAGGTAGGTCAAATAGTTGACTACCAATGAATGAACGATATCTTGTGCATGTCAGAACACAGATGTACAATGTGGCCCAGCACAAGGATGCTGGATCAGTCTGAGAATAACTGAAACTGATAATTCAATTTCACATCATTAAGGATTAAGTTGGGATTTGGTTGGCTCTGTGATCAGTTTATCTGAAACTGCACTGAAGTTAGATAGCTGAGGTGTGGGAGAGGGTGACTAGTCTTCTCAACAATGGAAATCCAGCATTCCTGTTTCCTGCCTCCTTTCAACATCATAAATGTACTCCAGTACCAGTACCAGTAGCAACTACACGCCTCCTTTTGCTGCATCCTCAGCTCAGAATTATGCTGGGTAGGATGCGATGGGGTTGGTTGGGATGGGGTGGAGGCTGCAGTGCAGCAAGTTAGATGATCCACACTATCTTTTCCTGTAGTAGCTAGCTCTCTCTTTTCCTCAGCTGCTATTGCTCTGTCATTTCAATCATTTCCCCAGGGCATCTTCAAAGATACAAAAGCATCTTCCTGTGTAGCCTTTTCTGGAATCACTCAACCACTATTTTGCCAAAATAACAGGCTTCTGTGAAAACTGAATGATGATTTAATACTTGGCTGCTACAGATCCTGGTGGAGATGAATGTATACCGTACATAACAATAAAGGAGAATATTTGTAGCTCAGTGTCTAGCACCGATGAGGTTACCTAGTTTGGGTAATGAAATGACTGCAGGAAAATAAGCAAGCTCAGAGAGCACCAAGAACCCCTTTAGTGTATGTTTCAGGAAGGAGACATCGACACTGAGGGAGTTGCAGATCTTCAACCTTGATGTTCTTTTTCCTCTCTTTATAAATAATTGTATTACATTCTACAAATGTTACAGTTGACATTTCTTAAAAAAGAATTACATAATAGTATCTAATGTGTGGAATCTAATATAAAAACCACTATAAACTTTAAACTTTGTTATATATTAAGTACTGTGTGTACATAAGGAAAAAAAACCGCACTTTATTAAACTATCTAAACAAAAAACATAAAAATATAAAAAGAGTAGATTAAAAATGTAAATGCAAATAATAGCTAAAACAATTTAACCAACAAAATTAAAAAACCTTACATATATACAGAGACAGAGAAATAAAAAAGAAAAAGTCAGCCTATTTAAGTAAAGTTATCTTATGTTTTTGCTTTCAAAACATTAAAATAATTAGTGTTAAATTAAATCTAGGCTGTAAGGTATCATATTGTCTGGTCTTGCCTTTCTTTTAATACAAGGCTAATTCAAAAGCTAATAGCTGACAAACCTCAGGAGGTTCTAATCTTGAGTGGTATGCCAAAGGGTGCCAATTGACTGAGAATAATTGATTGAAAGAGATCAAAGAAAGGTGGAAGGAATATGTACTGAAATACTGTTCAGTAAAAGATCAATATCCAAGATACCCCAAAAGGTACTACCTACTTAGAATAACCTCTAATATTAGAAGATGAAGTTATATCAGCACTCTGGTCATTATCAAGTTGGAAGGCTACAGGAACCAATGGAACACCTACTGAAAAATGGCAAGCAAAAAAGAATTGTCAGTCAAGGTTCTCACAAGCAAATCTGAAGAATGGCACAGTGGCCAACCTATTGGAGGAGGTACGTGTACATTCCAATTTCCAATTCTGAGAGAGAGAGGGGGGGGGAGGAGGGGGAGATTGCTCAAACTATTGCACAATATCCTTAATTTCATATGTTGGCAAAATAATCCTCAGGGTTATTGTTAGATTAGAGCCCTGCATAGAAAAGAAGGTGGCAGATATTCAAGCTGGTTTTAGAGAAGACCAAGGATGATGAGACAATATTTCCAATGCATACTGGATAATCGAGAAAGCCAAAGGATGCAAAAATAACTCACTATGTCATTCACTGATTTAGAAAGGTCTTTTGATTGTGTCAATCACATCAAGCTGTAGAATGTGCTTAGGAAAAAAAAGGGGAATTCTAGAATATCTCATTGTCCTTGTGGGAAAACTATGTGCCGTCCAAACAGAACATGATAAAACAGATTGATCTACATTGTGAAAGAAGTGAGACAAAGACATATAATCGCCCCTTACTTATTCAACCCACATGTTGTATATTTTGGAGAACTGCATTGGGGAGAGCCAGTTTGGTCTAGTTAAACACTTGGTTAACTAGACATCAGGCAAAAAAAAAAAAAAATCTCCCAGGAAACTGTGTGTTCTAGTCCCACTATAGATATGAAAACCAGCTGGGTGACTTTGGCCAGTCACTCTTTCTCAGCACAATCCACCTCACGTGATTATTGTTGTTGGGAAAATGGAAGGGGGAAGAGTAATAGGTATGTTCACCGCTCTGAGTTGGTTATAAAAATAGTAAAACTAGAATATAAACAAACAAATAAATTGTGTAAAGATAGATATAGTTTTAAACTTGGAGGAAGGAACATCAATAATTTACACTATGCTAATGACATTGGTTTGATAGCCAAAACTGCATGGGGTCTACAAAATCTAATAATAAAAGTCAAGGAGTGCCGTGAAAAAAATGGGACTAAAATCAAACATAAAGAAGACCAAACTAATGGCAGTAAGAATAACAACCAGCTTTAGAATTGGGACTGATAATATATGGTCATCTCTTTCTTCCCCAACTTTTCCTTTTCCTTCTTCTAATGTTGATCTTTACTACATGGAGACTAGAAAGATGTGAAGAAGAACATTGAGAATTGCTTTGAAGTTCTGAATCTCACTAATAGAGAATAGAGGAACTATGCGATGAATTTAAAGGGTTTGTTAAAGGCAGATGTGAAAAGAGACTGCCAAAAATGAACAAGGAGAAGAAAGGAAACTGGATATCAGAACAAACAATGGAAATTTCCAAGAAGAAAAGCGAAGCCAAAGCCAATAATGATAAAAACCCTAGGAAGGAACTTAATAGTTTTAGAGAGCAGGTAGAAGTACTGGTAGTATTACAACAATATCAGCAAAGGCATAGAAAATGGAAACATACTTTGAAAAACAAGAAAAGTCTTTCAAAAGATCCCTGAACTATCAAAGTGATAGATAGTTTCTGCCTTTTAGGAGCAACCATCAACAGTAAAGGAACAAATATGATTAAATTTAGGCACATTTATGTCACCGATTCTAAAGTAAGGTCCAACTGGTTAATGTGTTGTCAAGCATTAAATGAGAAAGAATCCATTCCATTTTCAGAAAGCCTTCACTCCCTGCCTTTAAAATTAGGTGGAGGCAGAAAGTAAATACTGTATATTGGTTGTACATATGTCACAAAACAGACTGAAACACCTTTTTAATCTTGCTTGATAAACTGCCCTGTGAAACAACAAGAGTGATGACATTACATTTGCCATTAAAGAAATCCCTAGCTGATTGCCAGTCCTAAAGTGTTTTATAAACGAAATAGGTTGACTTCTAGGTGTGCGAATCAAGGTTGGGTTGTAGCATCTAATGCTGGTGAAATATGAATGTGCCCTTGCATGACACTTTAAGATATTAGAGGTGAATGGAAAGATTTCTGGAAGTAAATTTAAGACAAGTTTTTACTGGTTGGTATCTCCCAAATATTTAAGATTTCAACTCCCATAATTCCCAGCCAGCAAGCAATAGTGGTTTATTTGTGAACCAGTTCTATAAACCTATAATCCCATTGCATCTCTCTCTCTCTTTCTGTTTCTCTCTCCTTCCCTCCCTCTCATATATATTCCCTTTCCTTTGGCCTCTTGTATCTTGTATTCCCACAATTCCCAAACCCTTACTGTCACATATATGGAATACTGGGTACAGATTGTGACCATTTGAGTTAGGCATTGAATCCCCAACAATATATACAAAGGAAGAGTGATCCCACTGACACATTCCTTGATTCCCACAGTGCTGTCTGCTATCCTTAATTTTACATTGTTAAATTCTTTCAATTATATAGAAGGAATAGA